TTCCTTGTTGTGTGGCTACTGTTCGTTCAGTTTGATGCCAAACCGAAGGAAATCATCACTCATTCTGTAATCCAAGGACCGTTCGATTCCCATGCATGACACGGTTGAGTTGGGAACAAGCCTAGACAGGCACTAAAGTGAACAATTATAAAAGAATGTTGTGTTAATAACATTCATATATTATTGTTCACTTTCAGGGTGACTGTCTGAGCGTGTAAATACTTAACGACCGTCACTTGCACGACCACTTTCAAATCAGTTCATAATGCCGCTGCATATTTCACTCTCGTTAAAGTTCACTGCACTGGTAAAATCTGGAACGATGTTTTTAGTCACTATGGCTTTTTTTCATATAAGGTGCAGGGACTGAATTTTTGTTCATCTGTCAGACGGTATCTCAGTACTGACTTTATACCGAGAATTAAGATGTCTGATCATTGCTGCTTTCAGTTCTTTGACTTGAAAACAGTTTGGAGAAAATGCAAATCGAAGTTAGGTTTTAAAAAGGGTTAAGTTGAGCCAGTGAAGTGCCAGGCGAGCACGAGGATCGTGGGAAACAATCCCCTGGCTCTTACTCTACTTGCGCCCTGGACGATGTTCTGAGAAGATGAAGGGTAAAAAAGGGTCTTTAAACGGATCGACCTTTACTATACTCATCAAGTAACAAGGGCAGAAAAAAAATCAAATCTACCTAACAAGAGAGAATTAATGATTCCATAATTTTGTCTTGAACCTAATTATTCCCTATTCAAACAGGTTAAACCGGGTTCAACTGAATAGCATCAGAAACAGAGGAATGAAGAATCCATAGAATTCGGAGGACTGAATTTTCCATAGAATTCAAGTAGTCTCTCCCTTGTATTTTCGATCTGATTAGTTCTATGTTGGCAAACATCGGTCTAAGCAGCTTCTATGAAGAAATAAAATAAAATAGCTTTAAAACATGTTCAGGCCTTCCTTTTGTGTGAATGGGTGAAGTCAGATTATGTTTGTCACGCAACCTTGCGATATGGGAGGATAAAAATAGCGTTAAAAAACGCAAACGGTGTTCCAAAACCGAAGGTACCGGTAAATCCAAGAAGGAAAATCCAGCTCTCTGAATGAATATATTTACTACTTTTCCTTCATTATTTTGTTCATTTTTGTTTTACTAATCAGTACGCTGAAAATAGTTTACTTCGTGTTCCTCATTCCTTCGGTTGTTACGCAATGTTTAACAACGGGTTCGCGCCTCGTTCACCTGGTACAATGGCAGCGTACGATCAAGATGAGATTTTGAGGTCAGTGCGTGCACAGAACAGATCAGTCAGCTTTATAACAGGATCAGAGTTGGTAAACATTGATGTTAAAGAGGATTCAAGTCGTCTGAATGAAGACAGCGAACTTAATGAGACCGTATGGAGATTGACTGGCTCAGGCTCATTTCTTTATGTTCTACGGTCGTGAATTTTCACGAGCTCATAAATATCTGATGAGTACTTTCTTCTTCTAAGAGTTGTTGCTGGCTGGAATATTGGTGAACGAAGCTAGACTCGGTCGAAATGGTTACTCTAAGACCTCTCCGAAAGAATTAAGGATAGCACCATGTTTTCATAGCAATTCTGCAGTCTATTTGTTTATAACTACATGTCCCAAGTTGATATCACCCTTTTTCACGTTCGCACAATTTTCTTATAGTCGAAGAACTCTTTCGTTAAAAACTAGTTTTTTTCTCGCCATTAAACCCGTCCGTAATAATGCGATTGAGTAATTCCTTATTGTATCTCTGAAGAGCAGCTTTTTTTAATTATTTACTTATTTATTATTCATTTCTTTATTTCAAGATTTGTACATATAGAATATATTCGTTACCCCCACCGACACAGCCCCAAACAGTTTCTTTAGAAACTATCAGCCTTTATTCATTGGAATATATACAGGTGTTAGAACAAATGTATATAGCATCCCATACATACAAGGTTCAACCACCTTACCCAACCCCATAAACCTAAGAAAACAAAACATATATCNGGGCTCAATCGTATTATCGCGGCATGAAGGCCCATATCAATGGCTTTTACGGCCAAGATATTGTCATGGCGTTTTCGCCACCTGAATATTGTAGGTTGTTTGCTCTAAAGAAGACCTACCAAGGGGGGGTCACGAGCACCCCAGGACCCCCCTGGCTACGCCCTTGGATACAGAGCTTTTTTATGCGAGGGACGAGACGGGAAGCTGCACATCTTTCCTGAACTTTAGAAATGACAGGCAGCAGGGATACTGGGCGGTAATTTTCGGCGAGATTGCCATTGCCTTTCTTAAAAATTGGCGAGACATTTCTCTTTTTCCAGTTTTTTAACAGGAAACCCTCTCTTAAGCTGAAATTTATCACAGCTGTTATGGAGGGTGCCAAAACCTCTGCACATTCTGTAAGAACTATAGTAGGCAGATTGTCCTGGCCAAGAGCTTTATACACGTCCAGCGAGCTGAGTATCTTTAAAATTTCCTCGACCGTGACTTGAACGTAACACAAGGAACGGTTTGCTGTAAGATGAGTAGTGGGCTCTTGTAAGTTCACTTTACGGCCTGAATGGTCATTAAGGACAGATTTAAAAAGGGCTCTTAAAGCCTCGGCACGAGCTCTGTCATCAGAAAAGGTTAGGTTGTTATAGATAACCTTTTCCGGGAGGGGTTTCCGCTTGTTTTTGAAGGAGAAAAATGTCCAGAAACGTTTGGAGTTAGTATGGATTTCACTAGCAATGGTCTTTATGTAGTTCCTTTTTTCGAAGCGAATCCAATTTTTTATGTGCTGTCTCAATTTGCGAAACTTTTCCATCTTTGCAGAAGTTTTCGATTTCCTAATGTGTCTCCATAGAGTCTTCTTTTTGTTTATTGCTTTCGCTAGATCCTTAGTGATCCCCGGAGGATAATTTGCATGTTTACACTTTACTTTAGGTACAGAAGTATTTAAAGTTGCAAACACTAGGTCATTCCAGGAATCCCAGAGGGAATCAAAATCCTGAGGTGTGCTAATATTGTCGATGCCGATGCTTAATGGAATTAGCATAAGGGCTTGTTTCAGGGACGCAAAATCAGCTTTTTTAAAATCAAAACGGTTTAAGCGTACATCCACTGCGAAATAAAAAATAACTGGATTATGGTTTGAGGGAAGAC